CTCCTCGCAACAATATTAACCACAGTGAGGAAGAACCTCAAGAGTGTTGGACATATTTTGATTGTAAATGATGCAAGTAATAAATATCTCAAATATAACGATTTCGTAAACTTTCTATGAGGTTTAAAATTCCACCATTCTGCAACCCTCCTTAATAAAGGATGGGGGAAAACGTAAATTCCACTATAATAGTGGTATTTTACTATTAAAGTGAGATTCCGTTATATTTTCAGCCGTATTTATCTTCGATTTCATCAAATAACGTTGTTTGGTGTGCAAGTGGAAGTCATGGTGGGTATAAAACTGAACAATAATTGGCACCCGTACATGTTAGGAATTTTATCAAAATTTTCTGCCAATGCGCTTAAAAATGCAAGCTACATTTTTAACATAGCAACAAGTGATTGCGGTAGTATTCAAAAAAGGTTGAATCTCAATTTTTCTCAAACGTGTGCACAAATTAATAGTTGTAATAATTTTCAACCCGCATTGAAAGAGATTTGTCGAATTAACAGAAGTAGATATGTTTTTGTCTGTATGGATACAAGTATGGAGGCCCATTGTGAAAAATGAAAAAAGCTAATCACAAGAATACATTATTCTGGAGAAACCAATTTTGTATAATTTAATTGCAAATCAGATTTTATTTAAATTTTTATTTAAGATTTTATTTAAGTTATATGAAGTATAATAGTACTTAATGGGTATTTCATATATGATATATTTTCATCTAACAAAAATTACACAAAATTATACACTTCTTTCAAAAATAAGATTCCTTGAAAAATTATAAATGGTTAAAAAAATTATATGTAACTTTTTAATTTTTATATCGCAAATAGAAACAGCGAAAATAAATCCTTTTAAGAAATGATAGTTTTAAAATACAATTTTAAAAACTCTAAATATTCCATTTTATATCTTGCACAAGAATCTTGTACAAGAAACGTTGACAAAGAAGTTGGGAGCGTAGAGGGGGATTGATTGATTGATTGTATGTTGTTTTACGTCCTACTCGAGAATTTTTCACTCATATAGAGACTCAACATATACCGGTGAAGGGCTTCAAAATTTGACCTTTACTCGGTACTCAGGGCCATTGAGCAGTAAGGGAACTTTATCGTGCCAACGTCTGCCGTGACAAGGGGCCTAGGTTTTTAAGGTCTCATCCGAAGGATCTACAACCTTCACTTCAAAGTGCCAAGCGCATGGCGAAGGAACAGTTGCTACCTATTTTGTATCGACTTAGGTCAATCGTAGCCTAGATTCGAACTCACGACCTCCCGATCCGGAGCGACCGCTCTACCGATTGAGCTACCGTGAACGGTAGAGCGTAGAGGAAGGCAATTCTGGAAGGAAAATGTTTCTCACTGGGTTATTTAAATTTTAAATCTCGAAATTTAAATCTCGTGATTCAAATCTCATATGTGGAATGAGCATTCTAATTTATAGAATGAGATTAGTAGTCTTTCGTAAGGAAAAAAAATCAACATCAAAATAACGAAGTGCTTATTTATTTAAAACTCGTGAGCTATACTGTTGATAAATTTGCACTGATTGATCAGATCAACAAAAAATTTGCACAATGAAAAAATAAAAAAATATAAAATAAAATCTGCCCGCCCGCCTTGATTTTCCAAAACAATTTTGATGAGAATTTAGGAATTTTTTTTATTATGGCCTAAATGCAGACAAGAGGTCCATGGGTTATATGGCTCACCTGAGCACTGTGGCTAGAAAAAAAAAAACAGTTCAGTATTGAAAGGTTTAAATTCAAAAGTGGTCCCGAACTACTGCCAAAAGGAGAAGGGGGGGGGGTTATGATTTGAACAAAACTGAAGCAACAGTAAGGTTGCTTACACATTTCTTTGACCAACTGTGGATTTTTACAAAATGAAACACTTCCTTTAAATTTAGCTGAATGGTTGTCTTTAAGTCACCATTAAATAAGCACCTTTAAGCTACCTTTAAGTAATAAATACACCACCATTAAGTTACCATTAAGCCTTCCAAAGTCCTTAATGATTGCTTAAAGGTAGCGTAATGGTGGCTTAATGGTGACATATACATGTAGGTGCTTAATGGAAGCTTCTAGATAATCTTTAAGTCACCATTAAGCCACCAGTAAGCCAGACTTATAGCTGCTTAATGTCCAAACTCCATTAAGCTACAATTAAACTACCTTTAAGCCACCATTAAGTCACCATTACGCAGTCGATAAAACTGCTTAAATGGGTTATAAATCATTTTTATAATGATTTCTTCACAAAAACTATAAATGTCGAGTTAACACATTTGTTAATTCAGCAAAAATAATGTAAAAGAAAGAAAATTAAAGAAAATAAATAAATAAATGAAAAGAAAAAATCCTGTTCCCAACAGGATTCGATCCCATGACCATTCGCTTGGTGGGCGAACGCTTTAACCACTGGGCTGTCAGGATCTTGATGAAGTGGTGAAATATAAAACCTTTATTTTTAACAAAACTTGTTTGGATTGGTAGTTCTACATGTATTTCTTTTCTAATGTTTATATTTATAAATCAATAATATGAATAATTATATTTATACATATTTATAAAAAGAAACTTTTATTAAGTTTTATATTACGTTAATATTTCTTAACCATGGAGTGGAGTTCGGTGTGATCATGGTGATGGTTTGAAACAACTTTCTGACTTAAAAGGTGCTAAGACACAGATTTGAAGTTAATATTTACTCAAGTTATCTGAATAATTTCATGACTTATATGTTGCTATAGTATTTCATACGAAAATTTGATAAAAATCTTATTTCATCTGGGGTCGTAACATAAAGCTTGCTAAGTTTTTGACTAAAGTAGGGTCATAAGTATGACTTAGGCACAATCTTAGGACCTGCCTAAGTACTACTTAAGTATGTCTCAAACCGTAACATAAAACGAACTAATCAAGGTCTTAGCTAAGTCAACCTTATGTTCGCAATATTTCTTATGAATCAAGCTAGTTTTTCAATTTATGTACTTGTATTGATAAAGAAAATATACAGTTATGTTTTAATTATATGTAAATTCGACGTCCTTTCTTCAATTTTATTTAGGTAACATTTATTTAGATTTTGTATTAAAATTATAATTTTGTTAAAAATAATTCTAAATATTTGAAAATAAATATTTCACAAAGTAGCAAGGGTTCAATGTAAATGCATGAGTTTTGTTAATCACTCGAGACTGCGATGTTTTCAGTTTACCTTTTGTTGTAATTCTTTTAATTTGACAAATGTTCACTCGCTTTGTCATTTTCGCAGACATGGCAGGATAACGGAACGTCTATCTACTTGAAATTAAAATTCTAATAATAAAGTACAAAACAATAGGGACATTTTGAATTCTTCCCCCCCCCCCCCCCCCCAATGTATCAGCCAATATCGGCAAGCAAAGACTGTAGACACTTTATGATGTACATGTACTTATTTAAATTTAATCAAGGATCGAAAAGAATTGTTTTCAGGAGATAATTTTTCGTATGTCTCCAGGTTATCAACAGTTCTCTCTCTCGGACGGTAGTGAGCAACCAAGTGAATCCGCGCTTGTCGAGTTCTACATTGAATCTTATTTACAGACACTTTTTATTAGGTTCCTAGTCATTATCCTCTAACTCACGGACAATTTTTCTGACTCTTAGTCTATTTCACCTCACATGTTCACAGTGAAAATGAAATCCAGGATTAGTGTGTATAATTTACTTATAATGATTAGTGTTTATAACCTAGGTCCCACTAATATTTCAAAAGTATCCCCAAAATAAAATTTTTGCATCTATATGTATGCCATGTTGAGTGTGATATTGGAATCGTTAATCGATAACCCCCCCCCCCCCCCCCCCCCCCCCGCCGACAAAAAACTGAAATTCTTATACCAGTATATAATAGCGATATTTATTTTCTTTAATGCATAACTTGAATAGAGGAATGTTTTAACGCCCAGATTCAAACTTTATAGCTCTAAATATGGGTATAAAAAAGTTGAGGCATACTTAAGGTATCTGATGTACAATTGACTAAAAAATGATGCATGGTAAGGTATACATCCCATATACTCATTTGATAGGTATGGGTATAAAGTTTCTAAAAATAGAATTTTTTCCCGCCAAATTACTATGGGGGAGTAACTCCAGCATTTGAAATATAATGCACGAAAACATGATATTTTTCTGTTGATGTCCAAAATCTGTACAATATAATTGATATTTGGTAAAAAAGTGATTTGATGATAATAATAAACAATATATTTTTGAAATAAAATAACTAATTTTATCTTTCTCAATTATATTTTGAAGAGAAAATTTCCAATTTACCCCCCCCCCCTTCCCCTTGACACACATACAAGAAATAATATTGAAGAAAGGAGAATTGTACCTAGTTTATTACATGGTTATTTACACATCAATCACTGTGTTTTTCTGCTCTTTAAAACCATTATGAATATTGAATTTCCATACAAGTTAATTTTGTTTAATGAATAAAAAAAAAAATATTCATTTTTATAAGTAAGAATTTTTTTCTCTTATTGAACATGATTGTGTTTTATGTAAGTAGCTATGACAATGTCATCTAACTAAGAATCATACTGCATCAAACAAAAACAATAGATGGATATTACAATGTGTAAAACAGTAGCTTATTTACAAAATACATCAAGTTTTGGGTTCAAATACATCACATTTCACAACAGGTGCTAGCATAAAAATCACTTACTGCTCATAGATGCCAAGCACAGGTCAAAACTTGCAACCTTTCACCAGCAAGTTGTCATGTCCCAATATGAGTGAAATATTTTTGAAGGGACATAAAGCAAACAAGCACAAGTGCAAATACTTATGGTACTCATAAAATTGAATACTATTCAAAAAAAAGTAACAAGTACAAAAAAAACTTGACACAACGAGTTTTTCACACAAAAAACATGAGTGCAAAAATTTATGGTACGCATAAAAATATCTTTTCCTAGTAACAGGTACATTGTTATTGTGAGAAAAAATGACACAACTTGGGTATTACAGTATCTAACACTTTACAGTCATTGGTCACTCTTGGTTTACCATGAGAGTTTTTTGCACAAAAAACATTACGCAGACCATCTTCGCCTGCACGTTTATGAATTATTTTCAAATGATGCAAACCAAGTCCAGAGCCTGCAACATTCTCTGCCATGTTCATTTTTAGAACACCATTGCCAACAAGAGCACTCAAAGATGGCAGATACAAGGCTTTTGCCGCACTAAACTTTTCTTGAAGGAAATGTGTTTCTGCATCATATGCAGATTTGGACAGATCAGATTTACAAACAGCAATAGATAATATTTTGGAAAGCATTTTCACATCTTCCACAGCATCATGTGCAGAATATGACTCTTTACAAAAGTGCTTAGCAAGATATATCTGTGTATACTTTTCTAGTTTTTTATGTTTTGATCGAATCAAAGACAACGAGTCAGTAAAACCTGACACATTTTCAAGAAACTGTTTCTGTAAACCAATCCGTTCAACAGCATAGGAAAGGACTCGGAAATCAAATACTCGACCGTTGTGAGCTATGATGATGACTCCATTATTCCTAAATGTACTCAACCAGGTAAGAAAATTTGAAACTGCGTCACGAATGGGAACTGCAACAACTTTGGATCCATTAGCGTAAACTGATGTTCCATCACAGACTATTCCTGTCGTTTGCTCTGCTCCAGGTTCTATGGGTATTTTTGGTAGAACATAAGTCGAGAATGAATCTCCAGACTCCATCTCCACAGCACCAATTTGAGTAATATGAGGCATGGCTCCTTGTCTGACTACAGAAATACAATTACTTCAATTTTTACTTGATATTTTAGAGTATTTATAATGATAATACAAGCAACCACTTTTGCTAAAAATAGAATAGGCTTAAAATAATGAGCAACTTACTAAGCCCAGTTGTTTCCAGATCAAAAACAATGAATGTTGGCTTCATGTTCTTCAGCTTTTGAACAGCACTAAATGTTGGCTTGGTAATGGGATCTGGTACTTTTTCAATGTCAGCTTCTGCACCAAGACCAACCTCTAACAATGCAAACATTGTTATTCAAATTGTTAGCATACATATCTATATAACATAAAGTATTTGCTTTCCTACAGATTTTACTTTCTTTTATTAAGAAAACATATATTTCGAATCTACTAGAATAGTTAACCTGATTGATAAGTGGACCCCTCTGAAGCCTCAAATGCATCCTTTTGAGTTGCTCTTTCTTGTTTTAGGATAAGACGACGACGTTTGGTCTCTGGTAGTCTCATCTTTTCTCTTTTCTTTTTCCTGTCTTCATCTACTTTGCTAGAGAACTTCATGTTGAAATGACCCGGAGACAGACCACTTTTACTAAAAGCCTGAAATCATAAAAAATAGATGAAGACATTTTTAAACACAATTAAATATCTGGTATATCCTAATTAAAGTGGCACAATTACATGAATTATCTTTTCTTTTTTTTTTTAAATTATATGTTTATTCACCAATGAAGGACCCTTGGGGGCATATACAATTATTTCATTTAGATCACAATTAAATGATATTGAAATATAGGAATAGGATAGAATGTCAATCGTTTCTATCATGGAGATACAAATGGAAGACATCAAATACCACAAGAAAGACACTCATGAAAATGCAAGTAATAATTAAAAAACATAACTGAAATTTGTAATGACCAACTAAATATGAAACAAGCAAACAACTTACAACCCAATGAAGAAACAAAAGAACTAAAACTTCAACACCAAAGCAGAACCTCTGAGAGATATTTCCTTCCAACATTTATGCTTGCAGCTGTTGCATGAATACGAAAGTCAAGGCTCTCACTCTCTCCATAATGCAAGTGCTTAGGGGCTTTGAGCATTGCTGCACGATTGGCATACTCACATGCCTGGCTTGAACCCAGGTCCACATACATGGCCGACTTAGCTATTATTGGTTCAAAAAGCAAGGTTAATTTCTCACGCAGTAAAGGGTCACTGAGTGGTGCTTTGTATGGCAAACTTCGATGACTATATTTCGCTGAGTTTCCTACGCGCTTGTAACCACAAAAACGTGCATGACAATTACTATGTTCTCCAAACTGGTGAGGAATCAGCGCTTTGAGGTTTTCCCGCATCCCATCTACATCACCTTTGTTTTTGCTAAATATGTACTTGATACACTTATGGAGATGCTGAATAACCTGATTACTGAGACTAACTTCCTTCCTGTTGCGTAGGTCATATAAGAGTTTGACAATGTTTTTAATACAATGATTTCTGTCAAGCTTTTTTTTAACAGTCACACCCATATTCTTTTGCAAGCGTGCAACAAGTGTGTTATCGCCATCACCCTCTATAATTTCAACAGGCGTACCTTGTTGGATCATGTCTTTGATGGCTTTCAGGCCTGCCTCACTTTCCATAGCCCTCGCAGACCCTTTATGATTCCACACACAGCGATGTTCTCTGACTTTTAGCCCTGTTCTGTTTCTTCTCCACCATTTACATACTCCACAAGTACGGTGCTTTATGACAGTCTTCAGAACTTTATTTTCCTTGCTCATCATAAATGTATGACCTGTGAAAAAAATCCCATGTTGCATAAAGTTATTTATTAACAAACTTTCAACACTTTAATAAAAAATGTATATAATTATTTTTGTGAATTTAAAAATATGATATAAAAAAATATATGGAAAAAATCAAAGACAATTTATCAGTTATAATTGCTTTATTTAACATATTCCCCGGGGAATTCTTTTTTTAACTACCTGTTAGACTGTCAAACCCCCTTTTCTGCCACCCATGATCGATGCAAACTGTCATGCCTCTACGACTTTTAGGAGCAAAGGAAAGTTTCTTTTTCACTGCCGGATGTATCTTCTGTGTTTTATGGCCATCATGAGTGAAGCCTGGCATTCCTGAGCTATATCAAAATAAAAGTGAAAATAATTTATTTATATGACTATTTTTTTCAACAATATAATATCTGTCTAATTCATCAATTCTCATTCCAAAGAAAAATAAATTACCCTTGGTGATGATCAAGTGTACAAGAAGATGTATTTTCATTTTTTTTGGAAACTGTCTTCTGCGTTACAATCTGGCACAACTTTCTTTTCATCAAATTTGAGTTTGGACCCTCCAGAGCTACAACACATTACCATTATTGATCATATTTCTATATGATATACAAAAATTTTATAATTTTTTTCATCAGTATTAGTGCAGTGCCTATTCTAAATTTTGATATTTACCAATGGTCATGATCAAGGGAATCAAGTGAGGAATCATGGTCAATTTCATTGCAAACTGATTCGGGCATTCTGGAAACATCCCTGTAAAGAATAAAATCAGAAGTAATACAGGTTAACACTGTTATGTATTCTTCATTGTTGTGATAACGATAATAATGTTAAATGAAAATTTACCCAATAAATTCATCAGGAATTACTGCTACCCCCAAATCAGTAAACTCCTCTTTAAAATCTCCCTCTTCTTTCTGTGAAACAGCTCTGAAATATACAGTTATACATGTAGTTATGTTAAATTTATGTTGCATTTGTATTCAAAACATTTACCTGTATTAGAGGTATTTTATTTAATACATAAACATAATTTTGATTACATCATTTCTTTCTCAAAGGCCATCATGCTTTCTTCCTTCATGTTATCTTTGGCATATTTCTCAATAATCTGCCCAGCCCTCCTTTCCATAGTTTTCAAACTTCTGTTATTTATGAATGGTAAATCTAATGTTGTAAGCAGATTGTTCATTCGCTGGGGTCCACCGACATTGTCAATCATGGCTACAAGGAATATTTGTTTGTTATTCCTTTCAAGCTTTTAATAAAATTTACAACAGAATATAACATCATTAGGACAATAAAATCAGAGATATTGGCAAACAACATACCTGCACCAATTTTTGTATTTATACAAAAACTCGGCATCCCCTTGCCATGCTCCTCGTCTCTGTGCGTTTTCCCATAAGGAATCCTGTTGGGCCTCAGACAAAAAGTACACTGGACATTCAGATACCCGCCCAGTCCAAGTTTCATCTCACCCTTGATGGTTCTTTTTGTAAGGTAAAGAGGCCCACATTTACAGTGCCTGCAATTTTCCAGGGCATCTATAACTGACACCCACTCTATCACCCGTCTTCCACTTCGCCACCCGTTTGCACTAAACTTTTTGCTATTGATCAAACTTTTCATACCAGGAAAACACGTTTCACACGTGTCCCTTTCACAAATATGACCAGATATATAGTTATGGTCGACTAACACATTAATTTTCGACGACTTTTTGAAGCGACCTTTTTTATTCCGCTGCAACATGGACGCCGCCATATTGAAAACTGTTTATAACAACGTCACGAGATATTTAGATATTTTGGTTTTTAAACTTAAAAATAATTTTCGGGTATCAAATTCTACATAAAATTGTTATATATGAGTATTAATCCAGTTGAATGAAAAAAAAAATATGCATTTAAAGATTTTTTACTTTCCCCCGTAATCTACCGAGGTCATTCCGGAAAATGCCGAGCTCTCATGCTCAATTGTACATCCGATACCTTAAGTCACCTCTACCGACCGCCTATGTTTTGCTAAGATGGTCAAATCTTAGCACGCTTCTAGTTACGGTCTTAAGTTTAAGACTGTACTTGAGTCCTACTTAAGCATGGTCTTAGACTTAAGTACCCTTCATGCTACGACCCCCTGAAGTTATTGAAACTTAGAATTTCTGGACGCGTTTGATAGACACATCCTTGCACTTTCACAAATTTTAACTTTATCCTTATTACTTTAGAAAAAAAGTAGCAATTTTGTTGTTTTTTAATGAAAAAAATTAAAACTATAATGCAGAAATTTCAGAGTAGAGATGTAGAAAGCAAAATCCTCCCACCAGTATTGTCAGTCCGTGCTCAGTGGTGTGTGCAGAGTTTAACAATTGAACACAACCGGTGAAACGTAAACATTAACAACAACAGAGCTCGTGCCCTGTTTACAAAAACAATTTACGTTTCACGGGTGTATTCAATTTGTTAAACTCTGTACACAACTACACAACACTGAGCACGGGCTGACAATACTTAAGTGAGTGGTTTTGCTTTCGAACATTTTAACTCTGAATTTTCTGGATTACTAATGTAATATTATTCATTAATACACACCAAAATTGCTACCTTTCTTAAGTATTAAGGATAAAGTTAAAAATTGTGAAAGTGCAAGGATGTGTTAATCAAACGCCTCCCGAAATTCTTAGTTTCAATAATTACCAGTTTAAATAAGTTTTTAATTTAATTTTCATGTGAAATGCTATAGCAACATATAAGTTGTGATATTATACAGAAAATTTGAGAAAACAAAAACTTCCAATCTGTGTCTATGCACCTTTAAGTTACCTAATTCCTCGTTCTGTTATTCGCAGATTTACAAGCATGAAAAGATTGAAATTCAACAGCTAAACAAAATTTTGTTATTAAAAAGGAATATATCATGGAAAGAGAACGATGAAAAAAAAAACAGGTTATAGTTCTTATAAATATGCTGCGAATATTTACGTTTTTTGTGTGCTAAATTGTTGACAATCTTTGCCTAACATGCCTCAAGACATACAAGACATAAAGAAAATTAAATAATGAATTGGTAAATTATATCTTTTACACAATTTAAAACTTTTATTAACCTTAGAGCCCATTTAAAACATGTACATCTGCTTGTTTCCTTGTTTTGTAAAAATAGAATTTTGGCTCCTACAGCCTGTATTTCAATTACTTTCAAGAAACATATCTTATCAATCTTACAAAAACTATCAATCAAGGCTTTTCACTTACTTGTAGATGTTTGCTTGCTTATATAAATACAATATATGGAAATGACGAACAGTATTCAATCTCAAATTGAGAGTCTTTAAAACAATACAAATAAGGAGCAGAGCAAACACGGATTTCTAAAACATCAGAGGTCGGATCAGGTGCCATGGAGGAGTGAGCATCTCTTCCGACCTATCAAACCCGCTGTTTGCTCCTTGTCATGATCGGGATATAACTGAAAACCCGTCGACAATTCAGCGGCCTAATAATTACTGTGAACAACGTCAGTCAGAATTTGACTTAATGATGGACTGTATTTGCTGACAAAGTCATTATATCGACCATACAAATTACGAAATAATGACTTCAAACGAGAATATTGATATTCTTGTTTCATCAACTTGTTTGTCAGTAACTTAATTCATTTTAGAAATTGTTCGAACGTAGAACATGCCCTTGCGTATCGAATCAACTGAGAGATATGAACCTCGTGGTGATAAATGTATATTGCTGTATAAGTAAAGAAGTAAAGAAAATTGACGATCGAAAAGTTAAAGTCATCAGTTTTATCAGAAAGCCCTGTTGTTAGGATACCATTAATGTCTTTTTATAGAAAAATATCTTAATATGAAACAAATGTTTAGACTCTGTAGTACCTTTAATTTCAAGCTCAGTGGGATACATTGTGTCGACATAAGAATGGAAATAACTATTTTTAATTGGTAATATGTCGTCGATATATCTAAATGTCGAGTTGAAGGCCAAAACAAGTGTTTTCTCCTTCTCATGTATAAGATTTTGAATAAATTCCGTTTCATATGAAAACAGAAATAGGTCTGCTTAAAACGGGGCGCAATCGGTACACATGGGATTTCCAACAGATTGCTGGAAGACCATGGTCTCCAAAAAAAAAAAAAAAAAAAAAAAAACACATAGATATTGTCAATCAGAAACTCGAGCATTGTTTTAATATCATTTTCAGAGTACTTGTGTGTACAATTCAGATTTATTTTTAACAAAATTGTTCTGCAAATGACCAATGGCAGGGTAAGTAAAATTTGCCAGTTCCGTTTTTTTTTTGAAAAATGATGTCCAAAAACCTCGACTTTAATTATCTTGAGGAATGGTTGTATATGGAGTTGAAAAAATGTAAGTATTTATATTATTGATTTTGGTTAAAATTTGTTGAATTCGAATTTTCCAAAAGTTCCCTGGAATTTTAATTAGCCTCTTCTGCTTTACACGACTCTTCGAATATGTTGTTGTAAAGTACTCCTAAAGTTTCTCCACTGCTGTTCTTATTTTAGTGAAGTGCAAAGAAAGAGGCTTGGTAGAACATTTACTGGAACTCTCTAAGTATCTTTGTTTGTGAGCATTTTTATGAAGGTAAGGAATCAAATATGGATATGGCAATTCAAATTCATTCTGGTTGTTGGGAATGTCAAAAATATAAAAAAAAAAGTATACGATTTTGAATATTTTGTCTTAAGAAAGGGAGCTATGGGTACATGTATAAGTTGCATTACCACTTTTAGAATTAAATCCCAATTTCTCTAAAATACAATTAAAAATAATGAGCCTTACAAACAAACACAATGTTGCACGAGTTCTGTCAGCTGGGACCAGTACAGACTGATGATGTAATCCATATACATGCAATTCTTTTTTCACTTCTGAATTACTGAACAAAGAAAGATAAATGGTTTTCATATATTGCCCCTCAATCGCTTAATGCGAGATTTTAACATACATCTAGTACATTTAATCCATTCTGACATAGTGTCAAGGTGTTCTTTTCAGTTTTTACTAATCGTCTGGCGTATTCTTCCACAAAATTCTTAATACATATATTTATGAATTTTTGACGTCGGTTGAATGAATTGAGTTCCAAAATAAAAAGTAAAGAGGCAGAGGGCACTGAGTTAACGAATTGGGTTACAATGCAGCGCACTAATAAATATCCAAATTATTTTAATAAATGATATATTGTAAATCTAGCTACAAACAAGTAAAAATTATGATATAAGTTTGCAAAATTATTTGGCAATTATCTCAATCAAGAACAAATTAATCTACAAATTTTGCATTGGATGTATGGAAGACTTTTAGTGAGCATTTTGTGCATTTGAAACCATTTATACACGAGAAATCCTGAAAAGAAACATCTAAAAAAAATTGATCGGATGCTGCCAAATGACAGTTGCTTGGGGGATTATTTATTGCTTATTTTTTTTTATACAAAATATTCATTCCATTTCAAATAAAGGCAGGATATGAAGTGCACTTGTTATTATTGCGGCTGATCACTGTTGATTCCATATGGGGCATCTGGCAGATTTAACTATCTGCGCATACATTACGCCCCGAAAAACTTTGTTTGTTCATTCATTGGTGTTTCGGAAAGAAACAAACATATTCAAGTACAATTGTATTAAGAGAGCGCGAGCACATGTATCATATTCTATTTATAGCATTGTGAACATTCAGCATATTATCGTTTTTAAGGGATTTGAAATTTCTTTGATTTCAGTTTAGAAGTATTTGGAATGTTACCGCTTAACTATAATATTACATGAAATCATATTTTACAGTTAAGACTCCATCAATACCTACGATGACGCTATCTCTAGTTATAGAATGCACCGATTCATTTTGCACACTGCTTATAATTCGTTTGGGCATTAATGTAGCAAACTACGTAGGTCATTCAAACTATTTTCCTAGCCCTCACTCCTAAATATATTATTACTGACCCTGTTAATAAAAAAGGTCGTTTACAAAATTGACAAGTTGCGTGGATGAATACTTGTTTTATTTTATTGCAATTCTTTACAAGTGTTGATATATTTAATTTAACTGAAGAGTTATTTTTCTTTTCAAAGGCTTAGCCCATTTTATTTCATGTCTCTCAACCTATATCAGAATGAAGTCCAAATTACATTTTTCATGTTTTTCCATATCAGAATAATGTATCATGTGAGAATATATATATATATATATATATATATATATATATATATATATATATATATATATATGTATGTATATATATATATATATATATATATATATATATATATATATATATATATATATATATATATATATATATATATATATATATATATATATATATATATATATCGTAAGCCAATGAGACAAATAGTCTTTTCCAAAGAGTTTTATTTCTTAAAGTGATAGGGCGTACAGAAGATCGTATAGTGGCTCTTATACAGACTCTCCTTGAACATGGTTCCGGAGAGCCCAGCTAAGAAGAGTGCAGCCCAGGTTGGAGCTCCTGGTAAAGTTTGAATCTTATTTTTATAATGTACAGAGCATAATACTCATTTACATATGGAATAAACAAGTAAGATTTAAGTAAACAAGTTATGCAATAAATTTGGACAAAATCCCAGTATTTAATAAAATAAATTGTAATTGAAACATTAACTTTTATGAGTTTCAGTTCAACGTCCTAGACGTGCAAAAGTTGATATAATGTTAAGATAATTCTAAACAAGGTTCTGTTAC